GTCTTAGTTACAGCACACAGGATCTTCAGCTGTGCCATGTGAAACTCTTTGTTGCAGTGTATGGGATCTAGTGCCTAACCAGGGACTGGACCTGGGCCACGCATTGGGAGCATGGAGTCAACCACAGGATCACCAGGGAAGTCCCTATAATTTTAAAATTATTTATTAATGGTTATAAAGTCCAAGGGCCCAAACGGTAGACAGCGGAAAGTCTGCCTGCTGCGTCTCCGCCCACAGTCTCCCAGGTCCTCCCCTGGAGGCCGTGAGAGTGATTCTCAGCCGTCCTTCAGGGCAGGAGGGTGTGTTCACAGATAAACCAGAAGGTGTGTTATTCAGAGCCAGGTTTAGACCCAGGCTGGTGCGTGACTCAGCGCGTGACCCAGAATGCCCACCACGCCCTGGTGGAGACGTGGGGCCACTGGAGGCCTCTGTCCCCCGACCTGGCCCTTCCCTCCACGGTCACCGTGTGCCTGCCCTCCCCGCCCCCAGCGGGTGGCAGAGACTCCTGCCTGGCTCTGCTTCTCTGGCTGCAGCGGTGCCTGCCTCCCGGCCACTGGGAAGGGCCGCAGCAGGCCTGGGGAGACCCCTTCACCCCAGTGGGACCCCTCATGGAGGTGGCCGTGTTGGGGAGCCGCTGGTGCAAAGGAGGGGAGGCCCACTGAGCACAGGAGTGTGTCAGGACAGCCTCTGACAGGTCTTTGGAGACCAAACTGACTTGGGTGTGGGTCCGGCTGCGGCTGCACCCTTCCTTCTGTGGAACTCGGTGGACCCGCCTCCCTAAGGAACCTCTGGGTTCTCATTCCTGAGAGTTAAGAGACAAAGGACCTCAGACCCTGCGGAACGTTGTAGGCTCTTGATGAGGAGTAGTTGTGTTTTTTTTTTCAATTTTTAAATTATGAAAATATAAAAAAGGAGAAAGCATTTTAAATTTATTTTTAATCAGAGGATAATTGGGTTGTTTTAATTATGGAAGCCTCTGCTCTGAGTTTTTCCACCACCCCTTGCTTCTGTCTGACCCCTGAGAAACATAGATGCGAGACCCTCAGAACTCTTACTTCCTGCCCACGTGCAGAAGGAACTGAGTGTGAATAAATATTAGATGGTATTATTGTTGTTATTATTACTTACTCTTATTTGGTGCCCAGTTTTGCAGTGTCCTTGGGTATGCAGACCCACAAGGGCCCCCACGTCCACCCAACTCTGGGATGAGGCTTCTAGGGGGAGCTCAGTGGCAGGAATTTACACCTGGTGGGGGGCAGGGGAGCAGGGTGTTTGCACACAGGTTTGGAGAGTGGGGGGCGGGGCGCTCACAGGAAGCGGGGGTTTGGGGGTGGGAGGTGGGTATAGGACAGAACACAGGGCTTAGAATCTGGGGTCTTAGTCAGGAGCCTTGACCTGCCTGAGTCCGTTATCTGTGAAGTGGGGGTCGTCTACCCTACCCAGTTAACCTCAGGGGCTTTGGGCTGCTCAGGTGGAAGAATTCACCAGAGGGTATTTGCCACCCGCAAAGTGAAGGTCGTACTGGCTGATGTAGGCTGCAAACCAGCATGGTTCAGCCTTCAGGGTATTAAAAAAGTTTAATTTGGAAATGGATAATCAGCATGGTTGTCCAACTTTGTGAATGTAATTAAGGCCACTGAACTGTATGCTTAAAAATGATTAAAATGGTAAATTTTGTGTCATATTTTTTTTACCACATTTTTGTTAAAGTGGGGGAAGAAAAGAGGGTTTGAATTACTGTATCAGTCTGGAAAACAGCCCACTTTGGAGGTTCCATAGGACCAATTTTGAAAAGTTAATCAGGACATGGGATGAGTATGGCCTGGAATCATGGAGAATGGGTTGCCAGTGGGGGTGGGGGGTGGAGCAGGGGAGCTTCCGAGGAGACCCTGAAACTGCAGAGAGAAGGGGAAACGGCGTGGCCTCGGCCCACCCAACCAGTCCCCCTTCATTGCGTCCCACTGGCTGAACCTGGTGAGGGCCAGTTGGCAAAGGGACTTGGAAAACGTAGTTCACCAGGGTCTGCCCCCTGGATGCCAAGCAGAGCTGGGGAAAGGCAGGTTTGAGATCACATAGCAAAGGACCAGTACTGTTGTCTACATTTAACAGCCCAGTGATTTAGCATAAAAATCTGAATTCATAGCTTCCGAGACACCCTTGGGCCCATTTTCCCAGTAATCACCCCAAAAAAGTGGGTGAGGAAAGCAAGATGGTTGGGGGGTGGTGAGGCCCACGTCTGCCTAGTCGGGCTGAGGTCCTGGCCTTGGGGGGCCCTGCTGAGGTGTCCTGAGAAGCCTGTGGGGCCCCAGTGTTCTGATTTGCACCCGATGAGCCCTGAGGGGACCGCAGGTCCTCTAGAGCAGAGTAGAAGTGGGGAGAGCCTGAGGACCCTGAGCTAGGTGGACTAAGCGGACAGCTGGGGGCAGGGGTGGGGGCCGCGGGGCAGGACTGCCCCCTAGGAAGGGCGCATCAGGTATCTTCCTGTCTCTGTTCTTGGAGACTCTCTGGACCGGGAGGATTCTCTTTTTCGATCTGGTTGCTATTTGTCTTTCTGAGGCTGTGAGGCTGTGTTCTGATCAAATCTTCCAGCAAAGCCCAACATGTAAATTCTTGGCAGAGCTAACCTGGAGGAAGAGGTTGGGTGGCCTGGGGTTTTCCTCTGAAAATCCAGAGGATTTGGGGGGTGGGTACAGAAGCACCCAGGAAGGGTCTCAGACCTGCCCAGCCTTGCACATGGTGCTTGAAAAGAGGTCTGGGTAGGCGGGGGCTTCCCAGGTGACGCTAGTGGTGAAGAAGCCGCCTGCTGATGAAGGAGACATGAGAGATGCAGGTTCAGTCCCTGGGTCGGGAAGGTGCCCTGGAGCGGGGCATGGCAACTCACTCCAGCATTCTTGCCTGGAGAATCCCATGGACAGAGGAGGCTGGTGGGCTACAGTCCACGGGGTTGCAAAGAGCCAGACTCAACTGAACCGACTTAGCATGCACGCATGCGTGCTTAGGCCACGGGCCTCGTGGCTCCCAGGAAGAAGAGGCCACTGGCTTGGGAGTCAATCAGACTCGGGGCAAACCCTGGGTGTGGCTCAGTGACCTCAGAAAAGCCCCTTCACCTCTTATTTATAGTAGAGGGTCCCAGTTCCTCTTTCACACAGTGTGGGGAGGCGTAGAGGGGCTTATGCTTGTCTGGTGCCCACACGATACCCAGGGGCAGGGTTGTCATGGTTACCAAGGGGCCAGTCCCAGGGCGGCCCCCTGACACCTCCCTCCACCCCCCAGTTGGGGAGATCCCTTCCTCCGTTCTTCCTGCTCCCTTCCAGGCTGCGCAGCTGGCAGGAATTTGTCCTCTGCAGGGATATACAGGGAGAAACTCTCCTTTTTTGATGAAACAGCGATGAGGTGATGTCTGGGTTTTTTATATCCCCGTTCTGAATGGGTGCCAGACACGAGTCCAGGCCAGATTCTGTTAGCCACATTTGTCCTCTGGGCTCCTGGGACCTTCTGGGGGTCCAGCACCTGGGAAGGAGTTGGCGGGGGGACAAGGAAAGTGGTACCAAGAGCTAGTACCTCCCTTGGGGACCCAGGCAGAGTCTAACAACCTGCCTCAATCAAGACTCTTTTATTTAAAATATATTATTTTAAAATTATATATGTATATATTATGTTATATATATTAATCATGTCTGACCCTTTGTGACCCCATGGGCTCTAGCCCACCAGGCTCCTCTGTCCATGGGATTCTCCAGGCAAGAATACTGAAGTGGGTAGCCATTCTCTTCTCCAGGGGATCGTCCCTATCCAGCGGTCAAACCCAGGTCTCCTGCATTGCAGGTGAATTCCTTACCATCTGAGCCACCAGGGAAACCCATATATAATTTTTTAAATGTATATATTACTTTTCCTCCTTACCAAAGTGAGAAACCCTTTGAGGCATAAACTGAGGGTAAACCCTGTTTTGGAGGGTAAGCTGGGGCCTGGATAGGTTAATTACCTTGACCATTGATTCTTAGTTGGAACCCAGTATTAGGTGTCTAGTCATATTGATCCCTTGCCCATCACACTTGAGAAGCCTCATTACCATCTGGATCTCTGGTTGATGCAATGAGCTTAACAGAAGAATCGATGGCCTGGTGAACTTGAGGTTGTGGGTGATACTATTGTATTATAGGATCATATTTTAGATGTGAATAAAAGAAATCTCTACAAATGGCCCACACTTGTTACAAAAATATTCAGTGCCAAAAATGTCTGAGGTACACAGTAAAAACCCCTGAACCCCCACCCGCTAGAGACAAGCTCTGGAACGAACCATTTCTTTTCTTTTTTTTTTTTTTGGAACCATTTCTTACATATATTCCTCTGGATTTTCCGGTGCATTTACAAGTAAATGTTAATATTTGTGTTTTTATAATTTTAGTTATTCATTTATTCTTTTGTTTTTGGCTGCCCTGGGCCTTCGTTGCCGCACAGGCTTTCTCTAGTTGTTATGTGCGGGGTCTACCCTGTGCTTCTCCTTGCAGTGACTTCCCTTGTGAGTCATGGGCTCTAAGAGTGGGCTTCAGTGGCCGAGGTGCACGGGCTTAGTGAACTCGAGACATGGGCGACCTTGGATTAGGGATCGAACCAGTGTCTCCTGCATTGGCAGGCGGATTCTTTACCACTGAGCCACCCAGGGAAACCCAGCATTTGTGCTTTCAAAAGATGACCCGATACCTTCTGTTTTGCAACTTGCCTGTTGGAAGTAACAGTAGCTCTGGAGCCACAGAGGTTCCTAAGCAGGCAGAGTCACGGCCGATCTGGTGGGGAGGCGGCTGGCAAAGTTTGATGCAAAATTGTATGTCATCTGCGTGAGCACTTTTTAGAGATAGTGATTAGGACTCTGACCGTGATCTTTAAAAAAAAAGATTCAGACCTAGCCTCTTGTTCTCAGATGGAGAAAGCGAGGCTGAGGGGACCAGAGGACGTAAGTGGGGAGCCCAGCCACCTCCCCCTGCCCCACCCCGGGGATGCCTGGAAGGATGCAGGCAAGAGAGCTGCAGTCCCCTGGCTCTGGGCATCGTGCCCGGGCCCTGCAGAGAGGGGAGGAGTGGGGCGAGGAGTCAGTCCTGCCCCGGCGCCTCTGCAGTCCCTGCGGGGAGGAGATTTACAGCCCCCAGGAGCTGGGAGCTTACAGAGAAAAAGCCTGGTGCTGCACTTCCAAAGGATGCTGCCTGCAGCACCCGAGGTGGGCCGGCTTCTGGGTGGGCCCAGCTCCTCCAGGCTCAAAAAACCCCTCCAAGGGGCAGCTGTGGGGGCGGGTGAGGGGCAGGGGCCAGAGGGTGCTGTCAAGATCAGAAACACCCCCTCTCCCCGCAACACACATGCAGAGCTGGTGCTGGGCCCCAGGCCCTGGGGAGGGCTCTTGTTACTGCACGGTGTTATCCATGAGCTTGGGCTGCTCAGGACTTTTCTAGCAGCAGCCCCTGGGGTCTGATGTCACCAGTAAAGATGGCCACCATCCATTGAGCGTGTCTCCTTTGTGGGCCCGTGCACTGCAGGCTTCAGCACCCCCACTGAGCCCCTCCCAGGGCAGAGTCCTGTTATTCCCCCCACTCCACAGTAGCTCAGGGAGGCCATGGGGTCAGTGGTGGCACCATGCAGATATGAGCCTCATGTGCCCAAGTAAGTGCCCAAGTCCCTGACTCCCACCAGAGCCGCTTTCTCCCTGTGTGACTTGGCTTGGCTACTCAGCCTCTCTGAGCTGCCATTTTCTCACCCATCGTCATCGTCTGGGGCCACGTGTTCCAACTCTTTCCCGTGCCCTGTTTCAATCTTAGGCTCCCCACCGGATGTCAACACCACCGCTCTGAGGAGCACACCGCCGGGGCCAGCCCGGCCTGTGGGGGGCCGAAGGCCACTCCTGCCGCCCCTGTGTCTGCTGGGCCCAGGCTGGACCCAGACTGCCCTGGCCTCTGGTTCCCCACCCCCACGCTGCCCAGATCAGGAGCAGCAAGAGGTTTGCTAGGCAGACCCCCGAGGAATGTTTCCAGGGAGGCCTCCTCACGTTCACTCAGTAAGCAAGCCTTGGTTCTCTAGAAGGATCTGCGAGGTGCCAGGGTCCTGGAGAACCAGGCGGACACGGCGCCTGTACCCAGACGAGTGGCTGTCCCGAGGGTGAGATGGACGTCCACACACAGCGGAGCAATGCTGAGAACGAGGTCCCATAAGCGCGTCCAACAGTGGAGCCCTGCTCAGACTCAAGGCTCAGGGTGGAGGCCCTGGGGGCCACTGGGGGACAGGCCTGGAGCACACAAACCCGCTCGAGCCAGCTTGAGCCCAGGGCCTCTTGTCATCCTGTCTGGTGGCTTCTTCTCTCAGCACAGCCAGCCTTGATTCCCTCCCCCACCCCACCCGGCGGTCCTCACCCCCACAGCTCCCAGGGTGGGGTGCGTCCGAGCCAGTTCCTGGGAGAGAGGCGGTTGTGACTCGTGGGCCCTCCCCGCCAGGTATCCCCGGCCAAGCCCTGGGGAGCAGGTCCTGCTTCTTTACTGCTGTGTGGCCCTCAGCTAGTCCCCTGCCCTCTCTGAGCCTCAGTTTCCCCTCTATAAAGAGAGGGAAAACAGTGGCAGCGCTCTGTAGGGTTGTTGAGGCCATCAGAAGAGGCAGTGTTTGTAAAGAGCTCAGCTCGAGCCGGCGCACGCGGAGGCTCAGTAGCTGGGAGACCTTAAAGGCGCAGAGCTGCGGGGGAGCCCAGTGGAGGAGCAGCAACGTTCGGGAAAGAGACGCAGGTGCGCTGAGTGTAGGGGCTCGGCAGGTGTTACCAAGGAGCGGGAGGGGCCGAGGACAGAGGGGCCAGCTCAGGTGGAGGGGCGCGAGGGGTTCCGCAGGTGGGCTCAGGGCAGGAGGGGGCGGGGGACCGCAGAGGTCACAGGGGCAGCTGCCAGGTGGAGAGCTGGGCCAGGGGAGGTTCTGAGAGGGGCTCAGGCGGGGGCAGTGTTTGAAGGCTCCTTCTGACCGGAGGCTGGATCGGGGGGAACTGGGCATGGGAGGGTGGGGAGAGGCACTGTGGGTGGCTGTGTGCCACCCCCGGCGGGATGCAGACAGGGCGGGGCCACAGGACAGTCTGGGCGGGGCTCACCCCTTTGGGCCCCGCCACGGGTCCTGAAACCTCATCAGTGAAGCCTCCTCGTCGAGGCTTCATGTCTGTACCCTGGAGCGCATTTCAGCAAACCCCCTTCACCCGATGGTGGTGCCCACGTGGCCCCGGAAGGCGGGCGTTGGCTGGGTGGGTAATCACGATGGTCCCAGGCTGTGCCCGCTTCTCTCCAGTGGCCCCAGGAGATCGGGACTGTTACTTTCCCCCATTTATGGAAAAGCAAAATGAAGCTTGCAGAGGTCGCGAACCTTGGTGGTGGTACCAGGGTTACCAGGGGGGCAGGCACAGCCGGGAGCAAACCCAGGGTCCCAGGTCCACTGGGTGCCCTGCAGTCTCCCAACTCCAAAGGCCAAACGCAACCCTGCGTCACTGCTTGTGCGTCCATTCACTCTCCCTAGCTGAGAGAGGCCGCGGGGAGGAAACGGGCACCGCACTCCCAGGCTTACCCTGACTCTCTGTGCGAAGGACAGCAGCTCCGGGGACCAGGGACGACTCCAGCCCCGCCCTCGGAGGCATGCACCGCTCGCTCCTGCCGAGGGGGCCGCCATGGGTCCTTCTTGCGAACAGTGCTGCTTGGTACCCAGGTAAGCCAGGTCGGGGCGAGAGGGGTACCGGGTGAGGAGTCAGGTAGGAGGCCAGGGCTGCGGGACACTAAAGCAGTGTCTGCCAAAGGGCCGCTCGGGAGACGTTATGAGGGGCTTCCGTTATCTGTGGGTTTGGGAAACTGGAAACTGAGGCTCCAGCAGACAAACGCCTTCTCACCTTAGACCCTCAACAAAGAAGTGGTGCTGTGGGCATAACCTTGCCGGCTGGCGTGCACGGCACTCCTCTGGAGCGTCCGAGGCGAGACCCCCGTGCTGCAGGTCCACGTGCCGCCCCCCACCGGACCCCATCGGGCCGGGGCTCTGCCAGCAGAACCGGCGCCTGAGGGCGGAGCGCAGGGAGGCTGCGAGCGGGCAGGTGCAGGAGCAGGGGCGCGTGTGGGGCAGGGGCCGGGCTTGGCTGACAGGACCCACCAGCGCGACGTCGCCCCCCCAGACCTACTGTCAGCGTAGACGTCTATGCAGCACGCGGCTGCCTCACACCTGAGTTTTTGTCCGCATCTTCTGCAGCAGGTGGGGCGGGCCCTGTGACCATCTCCACTGTGCAGCTGAGGAAGCAGAGACTCAGAGAAGGCAAGGGACGTGCCCCAAATCACACAGGCGGGCCAGGTCGCCTGGCCTCTGACATCCTGCTGCGCAGCGGGTGGCCCAGGAACGCGCCCTCCTTCTGGCCGCCCTGCCGTGGCTTGGCGGGGGTCGTCGACCTGGCGCTCCACCAGCGCCACAGTGGCCACGGCCGGTCCTGGGGGCCGGTGCTGGGGTCCACATTTGTTACAAGGCAAACCCTCTAGCCGCTTCCAAAGAGAAACATTTTGCTCTCATTTTACAGGGGACGGAAAGGAGGTATCCACCAGTAGGGTTAGACACTCACCCAAGGCCATGCGGCTGGAGCCAACCCTATAGGCCAGGTCCTGTTTCTCTTCCTACAAAATTGAGATATAGTTCACATACCATAACAGTTACCAGTTTTTTTTTAAGTATGAAAGAAGCAATTTTATTAAATGGGCTCATTTACCTGGCACGTGGAATTGGGCAAAGACAAATATATGCACTGCATAAAAAGAATCACATCCTCCAACTTCCCTGGTGGCTAGGTAGTTAAGAATCTGCCTGCCAATGCAAGGGACACGGGTTTGATCCCCGGGCCGGGAAGATCCCACATGCCCCAGGGAAGCTGAGCCCGTGAGCCACAAATACTGAGCCCAAGAGCTCTAGGGCCCGTGCTCCTCAACAAGAGAAGCCACTGAAGAGCTTCACGGCCTAACTTGACTGATCCAGTACTAAACATCCTCCGTATGTCCCCCAGACTTCTTCCAGGTCTTTTTCAGTCTAAAAACTGCAGAAGATTGATGGATGCCACTCCCAACCTGCGCTGGCAATCCGGGAGCAGCCGCCCTGGGTGGGCTGTCTGGTCACAGGGCTCTCCCAGGACCTGGTGGAGAAGTCGGGTGGGAGCTGGGTCTGACAGGGGGACTGAGGGAGTCTGGTGGGCTCCTGGGGGCGGAGGCTGGCTAGGAGCCTGTCAGGAAGCGGGGTCGGGGCAGCGCCACCTGGCTGGGGAGCTGGGCAGGCTGGATGTGCAGCTGTGGCGACCTGGCTCCTCTAGGGGGCGATCTGAGCCCGTCTTGAAATGGCAGTTCTCCACCCGGGCGGCATCTCTCCTCCCGCTTCTGCAGGGCTTTACTCGGAGCGTGGAGGGCCAGGGCTGTGGGGTCCAGTGAACTGTGGCTCAATCCCGGGCACAGATGACGAGGCATTCAGTCTGGAACAAGGATCGATGTCCACTGTGCGCTCCCTGGACCAGGCATTGAGCGTGACCTCCCTTGGTCCTCGTGGCTGCCCTGCGGAGTGGTATCGGAAGAGACAGGCACAGGGATGGCTAGTGATTTGCTCAGGGTCACACAGACAGAAACGCCAGAGCCTGCGTCCAAGCCCAGGTCCGTGCGATTCTGGGCTATGACGGTGATTGATTGCTTGGCTATGTGATACTTTACTTGTGAAATGAACATGGTTTTTCTTAGGAAGCAAACTTACGGTCACCAAAGGGGAACGGTGGGTAAAGGGGATAAAGTACAAGGATAGGATTAATTTGTAACTACAAATACATGAAAAATAAACAATAAGGACCTACTTTAGCAAGGGTGGTGTACTAAACACTCTGTAATAACTGATATGTGAAAAAAAATGAATACATATATGTATGGGGATAACTGAATAAGATTCTGTACACAAAACATAACACACACAACACTTTAAGTCAACTTTACTCCTAAAAAGAGGAACATCGGCGCTTCCCCAGTGGCTCGGGGGTAACGAATCTGCCTGCCAGTGCAGGAGGCAGGGGGTCAGTCCCCGGTGCTGGAAGATAACACGTGCTGTGGAGCGGGTAAGCCCGGCACCGCAGCTGCCGAGCCCACGTGCTGCAGCCCGAGAGCCCTGGAGCCCGTGCTCCGCTCCAAGAGAGCTGCAAAACCAGAAACCCCAGCACCGCCGCTGGAGAGTAGCTCCCACTCGCCGGAATTAGAGAAAAGCCCGCGCAGCAACGAAGCCTCAGCACAACCACATAAATAAATTTAAAAAAAAGAAACATTAATTCAAAAAAAGAAAAACCAAGAAGTGATGAGACACTTTCCAATTTTCCACTCTTAATTTACAACCGGGGAACTAGGAGGACTAAGCCTAAGGTTCCAGTTACCATGGAACTTGGACATCAGGATATCCTGCCATCTTGTGGCCATTTCCCACAACGGCAACCTTAAAAATACTGCCAATGAGCACCTCACACCCACAAGGACTGCTGGGGTGTAAAGGATACCTGTCCTTAAAATTTTACATAAGTAACTAATCACAAATAATTAGAAACTGGACAAACTATCAGGAACAAAATTTCAACAGTAAATTCTACTCACACTGTTTACAAAAAAGGGCATGAAAAATCATGAATTATTATGGATAGGCGTGTCAGAACCACAGTGAGGGGTCCACTCTGAATCAGTGCGAAAGGCATCGTCAAAAATCTACAAGCAATAAATGATGGAAAAGGCATGAAGAAAAGGGAACCCTTTTATGGTTCTAGTGGCGTGTGCATGGTAAAATCAGTATACAGAGGAGTATGGAACTGTCTTTAAGAGATAAAAAGAGAGCCACCCTGAGATCCTGCAGACCCACTCTGAAGAGTATTTGAGGAGAAAAATAGACTTTGAAAAGGCACATGAAGCCAAGTGTTCACTGGTCTAGAATTTACAATAGCCAACAAATGGAAGCCAACAAAATATTTATAGAGAGATGAATGGATAAAGAAGAAGTGACATGTGTATACGATACAGTGTGACTCAGCTAGGAAAACCAGTTTTTAAAATGTGATTTTCAGGAATATAGATAAAGCTATCAATACTCAAACTAAGTGAAGAAAGTCAGAATCAAAAAAAAGACAAATATCATATCATTTATAAGTAGAATCTAAAAATACACACCAATGAATTAGTTGAAAAAATGTAAGCAGACTCAGAGACTTAAAAACCTCCAGTTACTTAAAGGAGAATGAAGGGGGCAAGGATAAATTCAAAAGTTTAGATTTAATATATATCATTCCATATAAAAGAGATAGTCAACAAGGACCTAGGTGTACAAAGGGAATTCAACACTCTTGTAATAACCTATATGGGGGAAAAATTCAAATGTGAATAGGTATATGTAAAATTGAAAACATATTTTGTACAACTACAACCCACCATCTTGAATAACGATGTTACTACAACAAGGAATAAAAGTTAATTTAATAAAAAAAAGAGGGATGCAGACACAAGCTTTTGGGTATTTATTGTGGTACATGCCATTCTAATTTTACAATCCCATATCAGGACTTAAACTAAGGCTCGCGATGCTGAAAAAACCATAGTTGGGGACGAGGAAGTTCTGCCACCTCGTGGACATTGTTTGAAACAGCAACCTGAAAATTAACGCTTATGGGCACTTAATAGACACACTGTGTGGTGTTGGAGAAGACTTGTTGAGAGTCCCTTGGACCGCAAGGAAATCCAACCAGCCCATCCTAAAGGAAATCAGTCTTGAATATTCATTGGAAGGACAGATCCTGAAGCTCCAATACTTTGGCCACCTGATGCGAAGAACTGACTCATTTGAAAAGCCCCTGAGGCTGAGAAAGATTAAGGGCAGGAGGAGAAGGGGGCCACAGAGGATGAGATGGTTGGATGCCATCATGGACTGAATGGGAGTTTGAGCAAGCTCAGGGTGTTGGTGATGGACAGGGAAGCCTGGCGTGCCTCAGTCCATGGGGTCTCAAAGAGTCGGACACGACTGAGCGACTGAACTGAACTGAATATTCACAAAAACTGCTGGGCTCCAAACTACACCTGCCTTCAAACAATTTCTAGGGTTAACTAATAAAAAATAAAATACTGAAAATCAGCACAAACTGTCAAGAATAAGATATCCATAGGTAAATACAATTCATAATGTTTTTTAAAAGCACATACAAAGTTGCTCAATATATACAATTATTAGAGATGTGAAAATCAAAAGTATAGTGAGATATCACTTTCAAGCAGTAAAAAATGCCATTGTCAAAATATCTACACACAAGAAAAGCTAGAGTGGGCTTAAGAAAAGGAACCCTTTCATGGTGCTGGTGGGATGTAATTGGTAACAGGTATAAGAGGCAGAAGACTGAGGTCCGATTCCTGGGTGGGGAAGTTCCCCTGGAGATGGAAATGGAAACCCATTCCAGCATTCTTGCTGGGAAATCCCAGGGACAGAGAAGCCTGGCAGGCTGCAGTTCATGGGGTTGCAAAGAGCCAGACATGTCTGAGCACTCATGCAGTATCAGGACCAGTGAATTAATTCAGAAAACACAATCAGAGACTTGAAAACCAAACTTCTGGTTACCAGTGAATAAAGAAGGGGACAAAAGAGAAACAAAGAGGTCGGAATAAGCAAATACAAACTATTCCATGTTAAATAGATAAGGAACAGAGACCTACATATACCAAGGAAGGTCTATCAACACTTTGCGATATCCTATATGGGACAAAAATCCAAAGAATACATGCTTGTATATGTATAACTGAAAAAATTCTGTACACCTACAACACACAATATTTTATATTCTTGTTACTACAATAAAAGTTTAATGCTAATTCAACAAAACAAGGGAATAAGACAGAAGCTTTTAGATGTTTGTTCTGGCACATTCCGCTCTAATTTACAACTCCAAAACGGGATTTCCAATTAGACTCCAGTTGCCAGACTAGGGCTCCCCTGGTGGCTCAGCAGGTAAAGAATCTGCCTGAAAAGCAGGAGACCTGGGTTCAGTCTCTGGGTTGAGAAGAACCACTGGAGAAGGGAACGACTACCCACGCCAGTATGCTGCTCTGGAGAATTCCATGGACGGTATAGTCCATGGGGTCGCAAAGAGTCGGACACAACTGAGCCACTTTGCACTTTCACTTTTCACTTTGCCAGAGTAGC